CAACTTTGATTTTACTTCAGACACAGCATTACTGTGGTTAGCCGATAGAAGACAGATCTATATCGTAGGCTAAATTTCTGTCGTTTCTACCGTGTACCGTATATATCACGCATTCCTAATATTTATCTACTATGCACTTATATATTTAAAAAACATAAACATTAGATTTGAGGTAGTTTTAATAGAAAAGGTATTAGTTTCTGTTGGAAGAAAACATTCTCGCTTGTGTTGTTTACACACCCCCCCCCCCAAAAAAAAAAAAAAATCACACAAGGTTCAAGGTGACTATTGTTATTCGCATCACACGTGGTACATAAGAATCAGAATAAACTTTATTGGAATTGCACTGAGGTACAACGCGAATATGTACGTACAGTCGTCCGAAAGATGGGCGGAGTGCACGAAGCTGCAACTACAGGAGAGCGCGGCCATTTTATCCTTATCAGATAATAATCTTAGATAGGAAAAGGGGGAGAAACATTAGGGTAGATAGTGGTATTACAAAAAAAGATCTTTCACATCTTGTCCATCAGGACACGATTTGAGACATCAAAAAAACTCTACCAGCAAGCACAATTAAAACATGATTACATTTGCATTTGACATTGAGGTGTTGAGATTTGTCCATGAGCTTTTTTTCCAGATCAGCCACAGTTTCTGAGGATGTTCTGTGTGCTTGAACTAGCTTTAAGAATAATTAATTAGTAGTATGTCCGCAGCAAAGCTGTCCCTACATTACATTACACATCCAAGCATGAAAGTAATGAGAACTGTTTAATCTTGTCAGGTTGTTCTAATAAAACACTTAAATGACACTCTAATTTTTAACTAATAGAGCATTCACTAATAGAGATAAGAATTGTATAATCATTCCCTAAAGGAAGATTGTGGATGTAAATAAGTCAAAAGTACATTATTTTAAAGCAGTAACGGCACATCTCCCCTCTTCTTCTTTTGCTGTTTGTGAATAACAAACAATACAGCAACTTTTACCCTATATCCAGGTAAATGTTAACAAGTTAAGGGTCAGTATGGGAGAATGATGGCACAGAGGTTAGAGAGAGTAGTGGGCCTGTGATCGGAGAGTTGCCGGTCAATCTCCGGTTCAACTCCCCTGGCTGACAACATCAAAATGTGGGTGGAAAAGATGAAACACCCACACCTGCCTCAACCCTCATTTGCCCCACTTGGCCCCTGAGCAAGGATCATGAAAGGGCCACTAGTGCCTCTTTTCCATTAGTACCATTAGTACCGGTACAGCACAGTTTGACTTGGCTCGGCATGGTATGAGTTGTGTTTCAATTATACTTACAGTAACTGTTCTAGTGGGCGGGTTCAGCTCGAAGCCCGCAGGAGCACACGAGGCCGGGGCCTGCCTGATCCCGGCCTCATGCGCTCCTGCGGGTCAGCAGCATGGCGGATCTTCCGCGGTGACCAGAGGAGCTCGGAGCCAGGGAGATGATGCTCTGCCCGGCCTGAGGGGACTCCAAGGCTCCGGTGGAGAGGACCCGGGGGACCTGTGGAGCTCAATCTAGCTCGCTTTGAATTTTGTCATCGGCCACAAAGCACAAAAAACGCCTGTACTTCAGCATTAGACCACGGTGTTGTCATTGTTTTTAACATTTTTTAAATAGGTCCAGTCGCTCCTCGAGTTCGAGTTATTGCAAATGGCTGATCGGGTTTTGTAAAAGTTTCTCAACCAACCAGTGACTCCACCCCCTGACCAATCAATGAACAACACTGTTCTGATGTCACGTTTTAGGGCCAGTTCGGCACGGTTGGAACCTCAGAGAAAAAGGGACTGAAAAAGGGTCCGGTTCCACGAACCATTCCTAGTGTACAAGCCTTGGAACCGTGCCGAGTCGAGTTGAACCGTGCTGTACTGTTACTAATGGAAAAGTGCCAGAAGTGTAAGAGGAAACCCAACATCTTATCTCAAAGGTGTGATGTGGTGATGACAGTTTGTCACCAGCCAATCACAGGATTTAAAAGTCTGACACATATGTGCATATTCTTTAGATGTTGATCAAAGTCAGTTTTTTTTTTATTGGCAATGCCAATTTTTTAAAAATCTGTTCACAGGAAGCTGTTTGTAGCAGCTGATGTTCCATTTTCATGCAACAACAGCTATAATGGGGGAGTGGTGGCGCAGAGGTTAGAGAAGGTGGGCCTGTGATCGGAAGATCGCCGGTTCAAGCCCCGGTACCGACAACATCAAAAATGTGGGTAGGGTAGGTGAAGCACCCACACCTGCCCCCACCCTTATTCACCTCACCCTGGGCCCATGAGCAAGGCCCTTAACCCCCATCTGCTCCCTAAACAGGTCTCTCTTGAAAATGAGTTCTCGTGGCTCAATGAGACTACCTGAATAAATAAAAGGTAAATGAAAATAAAACAACAATTTTGTCCTACTATGGTAATTGTTATGTGTGCACAGGCATTTCTGCAGATTAATTGATCTATTTCTAATAGTGTGCCATGCCAGTGTTAAGTTTTACTGCGTACCTTCTATGGTTCAACAGTGCCCATTATCTCTGTAAGCTCATTTCTAACTGTGCTTGATTGGTGCATTAATGAATGGCCAGAGACAGCTTTAAGAGGGGCTCATTTCTGCTGCCGTGTTGTAAAATAGTTTTATGACAAGGTCTTAAGTCATGGTGCAATGAGCTTGCAAAAACCTGCAATTTTGTCAACTTATCTAATGTCACATGTCCTTATTTATATTCAGTGAACTTGGTCATTAAATGTGTGCTTTTTCTTCATCCCAGACACTTATTTCCTGCACATTGGTTCATCTCATTTAAAAGTCGGAGGCTATTTGAAAGCGATAATTCATTATATTTACTGGCTATTTCTACAAATTAAATTTTCAGTGTTTATTTTTGCATATCCTTAAAACCTTTTTCAGTTCAATTTTAAGTCGTTCAATAAATATGGTTGGTAAAAAAAATTTTTTGGTAAGGTTATTATTACCGTAATAAATATAATAGTATCCTTTCAAAGATGCATTTATGTTACTATTTTCATTTTTATTTATTTATTAAAAAATTTTTTTGGGGGGGGTACAGGATCAAATCAAACCAAATGGCAAACATACTGTAGTCCAGATGAGATGACAATACTGTGCTGTTTTAAAGTTGGCCTTACTTATTAATTTAGCTTGGTACTGGGGTGAATGCAGATCCATTTTGAACATGAATGTGACACTATTTGAACAGTTTTATCTGCCTGACCTGGTATTTTATGCGTTGGTGCGGCGACTGGCCTTGGCTCCGTCTGCAGCTGTGCGATTAGCTCAGAGCATCTGTCAACTTACTTTTGATCTTCCCTCGCATCTGCACTGTCGTAAGTCATTGTGACACTAATATCTACTTTGTGCTCAGCCACCTTAAATTTAAGAATGTAATGACAGTTGAAAAAGGTGAAGCTAAGATACAGTAATCGGTCAAAAAAAAAGTGAGATTGTTTAGAAAGGAAAACCTCTTCACTGATGATTCTACCGTGAAATGGTTGGAAGTGGAAAGTGGGGGGAAAAAGACAGGAAGCAATATCATAAATGGAGATGAAGCTCATCTACTCTCGTCTGCCTCCTTGGCAAGCAGCTATTTAGTCCAGCCCAGGGAGTGGAGAGATTGTTGCTTTTGTCTGCGTGAATGAGGCACTCGAGGAGAGTAAATCAGCTCTTTGTTTTTGTGTGCCGCTCCCTTGCATGTCTTCCAGTGTTCACTGATGTAATTATTGATGGGGGGGGGGGGGGGGGAGAGCAGGCAAAAACATGCCATGATTAAACCACAGTGCACACCCATATGTTATTTGGTACATCCCGTTTTCCTTGTGCATTTTATTTAATGTAAGACAAGTTTTGTACATTTCAGGGGGCTAAGAGGGTCTAAACTCAGCTGTGAAATGACTGTAAAATATAATTTACATTTCATTTCTTGGAAGAAACGGATTCCAATTGACATCTGGAACATACTGTTGAATTCTCACCTTCGGTTATGCTGAAGCTCTGCTCATGTTTGCTTACGATCAGGTTCTGTGCCCATCTCAAGGCCAGCTGTGACTGAAACCTAGACACTACTTCTGCTCCAAATAAAAACCCAGAGCGCTCTATCAATGAAGTCAGTGTCTGGTCCCTGAAGTCAGTCATGGGGGGGGTGAAACTTCATCCACTCCCATGACATCAGAACAACTAAGCAGCCCCTTCAGTAGCCCCTCACTCCTTCAGTGCTGACTCAATCTACAGTGTTAATAAGCATAACTTGACTTTGCTAACTTCTGTCAAAGTTATAGGAATAGTGGTTGTAAATATGATCATTATCACGAACAAACTCTTACAGTGGTTCATAGATCTTTAAAGCCATAACTTCAGATTATAAGATGACACTGCAGACAATGGAGACCTGATCGTTTCTTATTCAGCTCATACGAGCACTCCGTTTAAAAAGTCTGCATATATGAGATGATCTTGAGCCAGAGCTAAATTTAATACAGTAGACCCAGTAAGACATTTCTAGTTCATAATGTACCCTCATTGCTGACGAACAAAAAATGTATCTCATATCTTTGTCGTTCTCCTGGCTTATGTTTTTTGTGGCCAACGCAAAAAGACAATCGTTGGTCTGCTCGTCAAAGGAAATCATCCCCTCACGGAAATTTAGAAAGAATTGAGATTCCCAAAAGATTAGTTTTGTATGCTGCTAGCTGTTGGTGTTGGAAGACTGAAGAGAAAATCAATGTATCTGTTATTTCAAGAGTACAATTGATGGAGGAGAATTCTGTCTGGTAAGACTAAACTGTGGAAATGGGCGCTGGAACGTTCGCAGCGTTCAGACACAGCTGCATTATGTGGATCTTCCTGTCCACACCTTCTTCTTGGCATGATTTATACAACAAGAAACCGCTTTAAGTTGACATCTTTGTTCAAATGAATGGATACAGTAACGTCCTTGTCAATCTTTTGAGTGAGTTTGTGATTTTTCTGTTGTTGCTTCTTCTAGATCAGCAGATGCTCCAGAGCCTGTGAAGTTTTCAGCTTTGATGCAGAACAGGTATGACTGTTGATCTACTGACAATTTCCAAATTAACCCTTTTCTACGTTTTGAACCGAGAAATATGCATAAAAACGGAGCAAACTGAGGAAAATCAAGATTTGAGAAAATTGTTTGGATGTTTTTAAAGCAGCTAAAAACAAGTTGTGGATATATATATAAATATATATTTAAATCTCGGTTTAGAGAAAGAGTTTGTTTCTAATTGCTGCTAATTGCAAGTGCTAATAACTACAAAAATCTTTGTGTTGCTTATAATGCTGCCCATAGGTATGGAACACCAAAATGCTCAAAATTAAATAAATATAAAGATAATGAAATAAGTATAAGCTCGTTATTATGAAAATTAATTTTTATTCTTTTATTTCATAATGGTGTTTTTCATAACTGCTTATTTATTTCATAATGCCACTTTTCAGCAGAATGACTTCAGCTGTCAATCAATGTCAGTGGGTTGGACCTTCACGCCCACTGGCTGATCTCAGCCCCATAGAGAGACACTTTTGTTAACCTAGGAAATAAATATGGTCATAAACAGTTATCAAAGTTACTGAAATCACAAAGAAATTACATTTATCACAAGTGGACTCATGCTATTAACAATTTATATGATAATATTTAATAATAATATAGTAATATATTAAGTTTTGTTGACCATTAAAGTGCATTTATTAAGGTAAAAGTTAATGGAGATGCACCTTTGCTATAATTTAGAGCAAACAAAAAATTGTTTATGTATTAATCTTGTTAAATTCAAAGAACTAAAACAGCGATTCCTCCCGTGCGTGCTCCCGCGGCGCCCATCGATTTTTGCCAGCCCGTCACTTTTTGTCATGACACCTGTATCTTCCGAGAACGTAATCCTCTGTTTGATCTGCTAAAGTTACCCGAGCTGAACGAAGTTCATGCAGCTCTACCATCCTTCATGACTGTTGACCTAGCAAGTCGCTGCTAGCTGCTAGGCTAGCTGTGCCAGTGAGCAGGAAAGCTAATGGATGTGAAGGATCAGCCAGTGGGCGTGAAGGTCCAACCCACTGATGCTGATGGACAGCTGAAGTCATTCTGCTGAAAAGTGGCATTATGAAATAAATAAGCCGTTATGAAAAACACAATTATGAAATAAAAGAATGAAAAATTATTATTATTTTTTTCTTATTTCATAATGTTTTATTTATTTAATTTTGAGCATTTTGGTGTTGCATACATAGGAGAACACTGATGTTTTCAACAAAGTCCATGCTTAATAATCCAGGATTACAATCCAACAATTTTCAGTCAGGTCATCTGGACAGTTTCTTTTTTTTTTGTGCTGAACCGTTTCACCTTCGATCCGGAAGGCTTCATCAGTCAAGGAAACGCACAACAAACTGATTTTTACCCCAACAGCTTACCAAAGACACCATCTTAGCACCAACATAACTGGTTTGTTCCACTTTGGAGTAAGCTGTTGGGGGAAGAATCAGCTTTGTGTTGTGTTTTTCCTTGACTGATGAAGCCTTCCAGATCGAAGGTGACACGTTTCAGCACAAAAAAAAACAACTGTCCAGATGACCTGACTGAAAAATGTTGGACTGATGTTTTCACTTTATTCAAATTAACAATCATTCTAATGCATCTCTTTATCAGTTTATCTAGTGCAAGATGACCGAAGAGGTGATTGTCATCGCCAAGTTCGACTATATGGCCCAGCAGGACCAGGAGTTGGACATCAAGAAAAACGAGCGTCTCTGGCTACTTGATGACTCCAAGTCCTGGTGGAGGGTTAGAAATGCCACCAACAAAACTGGCTTCGTCCCGTCCAACTACGTGGAGAGGAAAAATAGTGCAAGGAAAGCTTCTATCGTCAAGAATCTGAAAGACACTCTAGGTAAATTATTATTTTTTTAAAGTATTGTTTTCTAAATTGAGTTGGTTTTGATTTTTTTACATGGAGCTTAGTAACTGATAAACAAGTTATTTAGGCCAACTCTTTTTGACATTACATTGATTATTTATTGTATTATGAGACAATACAGAAAGAAGCTACAGTACCAGTCTGATGTCTGCCTGGAATACTTTCTTCTTAACCTGCACAAATATTAAGACATTCACATCTTAGGGGTCTTTCTCTTTTAAGGTTCTGATTTCTTTTATCCATTGATTTACTCAGAGGACAAAGTTGTTTTTAGATTTTAGAAATTTGAAACTTGAACAACTGATTTTAATACAGATATATGTTGGCTTAGATATCTTTTTTTATTTATGTGTACATTTCAACCATCTGTTCAAGAAAACACAACAGTCACTTATTTTTGTAACTGGACATGTTTTGTCTCTGCTGTCACTATTATGGTAATATTTCCAGTCTTCTATCTGCCGAAAGCTTCTCACAGCCACATCTCTGTAAGCATGCCAAGGTTACCATTTGTCTCTGTGTAACGCTTCTTGATGACAGATATTCATGATAATTTGTGTTGCGCACGTGGACCGCTGGCATCCAGTCTGGAACAGATAACTGGGCATTAGATCTGTCTGATTTTGCAATTTGATTCTTTCTTTTGTGGCTTTTTATTTTAAAGCTTTATGTTTAGTGTGGTGCATCTTATCTGCAGGGGATCTTCAAATTAATCAAAAAATTGAATGGTTTGGTTTGTGTACTTTTAATCGTCGTGTAAATGTTTATGAAACATTCACACTATCGTGATCCATTTTTCTTCCGTACAGTTGTACGGAAGAACAGGAGAAGGGTGCTATGTTTTTTGGTATTGGTGCAACTTTAGCTTTTTGAACTATTCAGCCTTTTCTGACACTTTTTCCTGATAGAAAATGAATTGAGCTCATTTTACATCCTTGAAATCTTTAGATCTGTTTACAACCTTTTACTGCTCCTTTCACATTTTGTTCTGGTTCAGCTTCTTTCAGCTTCCTTGTGCAAGTTTAAACTTTTTTCAGCTACTTTCACTTGTTTTTTTTATCTGTTTTGTGCTTGTGCTTCTTCTAACTTCTTTATAATGTCAGCTTGTTAATACTCCTTTCAGTTTATTTCTGCAAGTTTCAGCTTTTTCTGCTATTTCAGCTACTATTTAGTTGTTTTTATGCTCATTTTAGCCTTTTCAGTTAATGCCACATTTTTTGCACTAATTTAAACTTTTTTCTGCCTAATTCAGCAAAATTGTGCTCTCTCCACTTCTGGTAATTTAAACTTCTTTCTGCCTTTTTAGCTACTTTTCAGCTGTTTTTTTTTTTTTTTTTTTGGTGCGCTAATTTCAGCTTTTTTCAGATAATTTCCACATTTCTGCTTCTTTCAGCCTAATTCAGCAAACATGTTCCTTCTTCTTCCTTCTGCTAATTTAAGCTTGTTTTACCTGTTCAGCTACTTTTTAGCATTTTCTAGCTAATTTTGGCTGTTTTCAGATAAATTCCAAGGTTTTTTTTGTATTTTCTGCAACTTTCAGCCAAATTAACTTCATTCTGATAATTTCAGCATGCTATGGTCCTTTCAGCTTAATTATGCTAGTTTTAGCATTTTTGCTATTTCAGCTACTATTCAGCTGTTTTTAGGCTAATTTTAGCTTTTTCAGTTAATTCCTTTTTTTAGCTCCTTTCAGCTCTTTCTGCTTCCTTCTGATAGCTTAAGCTTATGTACTGCCTTTCAGCTAGTTTTCAGCCATTTGTTGCTTTTTTCAGCCTTTTTTAAAGATAATTTACCAATTTTTGTGCTAATTTCTGTTTTTAAACCTATTTCAGCAAGTATGTGTTCTTTCTGCTCTTTTAGGCTAATTTAAGCTTGTTCTTCTATTTCAGCTACATTTCAGCACACTTTTTTTTTAAGCAAATTTCAGCTGTTTCTCAGCAAGTTCTTGTGCAATAAGCATTCACACTGCATTTTTGCAGGAAATGCAATTTCTCTAGTTAATATTTGGATCAGTTCTCATTAAGTTTTGTCCAAACTCAATATGCAAAAGCAAATTCTTAATAGGAGGGACTGCAGTTTGTTGTGGTAAACACATTAATCTTTGTCTCAGTTTTATCTATATAAATCAATTCATCGCATGTTTCAGTTTATACTGACAAATATCACATTACACTTGAAGATGTGACAGGAAAGGTGGCCTCAGGTCTTTTGCTTAATAATTGATGTGGTGAAGATGATGAACACCAGAACAGGGCGATCTGTCGGAGGAAGCTGTAGGCCCTAAAGTAACATTTTTCCTGCAGAAATTTGTAATAAATGAGGATGTTCTGGGTGGTACTTGTCAGAAATGTGTCATCAGTTCCCAACTGTATCTCGCACTGCAGTGTTTTGCAGAGCACTTATCTCTTGGACATGGGAACTGTTTCTTCCTGTTGGCTGTAACACGCTTTTTGCACTTACATTCAGTAATACTGGAGCAGTTTGTGTACTCGGGGAACAATATTCAGGAATAGGATTCTCTTTTCATTGAAATACAGCTGGTTGTCTCATGAATTATAACCAGATGACCTTTAACTGCATCTATTGATCAAATTGCTGTTGACTGCCACAATTATTTATAGTTGGACACTTTAAATAAAACACAAGGTAAAACTTCTCATGTCATCAATAATTAGTAACACAATTATGCAAATTCATTTAGACTGTTTTATAATCCGTGACTATATTTAATAGCTTCAAAACCTGAGCCTGGTTGCGTTCTTTTTGTATTTATTTGTGGAAAAGCCTTTGGATCACTCCATGTGGGAGGGAAAAATCAGTCTTTTATGGGTGTTTTTGTTGTCAGGTGCGAAGTAGTTTCACAGTTTGAAAGAATGTGTAAGAGTATGGTGTGTCTGACTAAGACTGTTTTATTGTTTGACTGTGTTTCTGTGTTTGAGGACTCATGTTTCCTGGGTTTGTTGTAAAGTTATGAGTGTCTCTACAAACTGTTGTCATGTGACGCAGAGAACTCACTGACTCAGAGCCATTGCTACATCCCCACAGTTTTCTAAGCATTCTCCCCTCTCATAAATAATAATACTCTTCATATTTGTTGAGAAACCAGCCCTTTTGGTGTTCATATACTGCTCTCCTTTTATTTTTTATTTCCTTTCTTTCTGTCTTTTAAGTTTCAGCCCTTCTTTCTTCTTCCACTCTCCATGAGGCGGCTGTAGTCGCCTTCCAGAGTTGCTCTGGAGGCCTCTTTACCCTGCGTGCTCATTGGCTAACCCCTGACCACATGATCACAGAGTGGGCTGCCCTTCTCTTTAGTCCTCCCAGCTCTTTGGGTGTTCACATGGAATAACTACAGCTGCAGTGGGAAGAGAGCTGGGGCTGGGAAAGAGACGAGACAGAGGGGGAGCGACAGCGAGCCCAAAATGGACATGGCTAACCTATTCAAACATTTCTTTCGTGAGTTTTTAACCTTTTAGTGGCTACTCAAAGTACCGGTACTTTTGACCTGTTTGTTCTGTAAATCTTTTATCTAAACTTTGAACCCCTTTCTTAACTATGAACAGTTTTCCCCCCCCCTCTTTCATACGTTTTCTTTGGTTATAAATTCAACTTCTCAACGTCAAGTTAAGTAAATAATGTGTTGAAATCTGAAGGAAGGAACAGATTTTGCGCCAACATGTTTCTGACAAAAAGTGGCCGTGCGGGTGTCTTAACAGCTTTTGAGGCTGTGTCTGTGTGAGCGGCTGCAAAGACTGGGTGGATATGCTTTTGAAAAGCCTTCTGCTAAGCCGAAGCCTGTAATTGCCTCAGCAAGCTTTTCGTCTCTCCCTCTTTTAAACACATACACACACACCGAAATCAGAGATTTTCTTTAGTCTTCTTTTCCAGCATTTGCTTTAGTGAGTGATTTGCATCTTGATGAATTACTTGATCTTGTTTAATGACCCCTCTTCTCTGCTCTGTTCAGGAATATCTCAAGACAACCAGCGCCTGTTTTGTTTTTTCTACCCTCAGGGCAATCTCACTCATTCTAGGAAGGTCCCCCCCCCCCCCCCCCCCCCACACACACACACTCTCTTACACACACCCTACAGCCGGTCATGAGCTACAGTTGAAGGGACGCAGGGTTTTCATGTTGAACACTGTAGTCATTGTGTTAAGAGGAGGAAGGGGGTTCTTGATGATTGATGGGAACCAAGCTCCAATCTTCTATACCTCTCTTCGTTATCAGAGGAATTTCTTTACTCGTGAAGCGCCGCGGCTCGTGGATACTTCACTGACACTTTTTCACAAGGTTTTGGCACACACGCTTGCTGTAATCTCACCTTGTAGCTGCTGAGTGGTATCTCTTGGCCCTTTGTGAGTTTGTGCCACTGACTGGCTTGCTTGGAGTCAAAACAGAGGTGAAGAAGATAGAGATGAGCTAACAAACATTTGGCTTGTGTAAACGGAGAGCTGCTGGTTCCTCTTGTCTCTCTTTCTCCCCTCCCTCTGTTTTCCTGTTTCTCAGCCTCCCCAAACTCTAATTTGAGCCACATTTCTCTGAGCTTTGGAGAAGTGCAAGCCAGAGAGGAAGTCAGAAGTTGGAAGGAAGTTTGAATCATGACTTACAAACTGGCTGTTGGACTTTTCTGGGGGTCTATCGCCTTTTACTCCCTCACTCCCAATTCCTGTTTGTCTACTCCAAACCATTCAGGCCTGTTTCCTTACCGAATTAGCTACATAAGTCATCTGAGTTACAGTAAGAGATTAGTGGGAGAGTTGTTGATGTCACATCAGTCTAAGCTGTATTTCTGTTTTAAAACTGTTCACTACTCTTTGTTTTCTCATCTCTTCCTATCAGAGGAAGTGAGTAGTGGTCTGGGCTTGTTGGTTGAACAGTAGCCAGAGGTGTAGACATGCTGTTAAAGACGAGTATAGACTTCTACAGGTAGTTTTAAACTTGATGGGCAACATTTCAAATCTGAAGTGTATCC